GGGATTGTTTGACAGAGTTTTTCGTAAACATTTTTATCAAATTTTGATGAAAGTTGATGTATTGTAGTTAGTGATTTCATCGTGACAAATCAAAATTGGGTAGCCCAATTGAGAGTTTCATGAAAACTAAGTGACCAAATGTGAAATTATCCCACCACATACAAGGCGACACGTCGACATTTGTTTGAGCCCTTTTTTTAAAAAAATTTATTTTCAACCACATTTTTCAATAGAAAAATATTAAACGTAAATCGATATTTTTTTTCTAAAATTTTAACCACACATTCTCCAAAAATCATTATTCAAAAGTGTTTTTCTCTTTAAATGGGGCGTAAACAAGGGCTAAGCTTAAAAAAAAAAAACATGCTAAATAATACGACGGTTTTACTACCGATACATCAAGGTGTACATATGCGTGTATATCACACTCACATGGGGGATGGGACCCGCTTGAATAAAAAATTATTTTATACAAGTGAGTCCCACTTCATGTGAGTGTGATGTATACCATTATGTACAATTCTTGATGTACAATTAGCATTGTTGATAACACAAATGGTGCTTAACATCGGCTCATGTGACGATGATAGTCACTCACATTGTCCAATAAATAAGCGACATCTTAACTTTATACGACAATGTGACATTGACTCTGTAGATATTAAATACCACTTGTAATATGGCAATAGTCTAAATTTTAACGTCCAAGTAATGAATCGGAAGTTTACTAACGAAACGTATTAGATGTGGCTCACGCCGAAAGTCAATTCAAGTTCAGTAATTTAACTGTAGCAAACATGGGGCTAAATGAGTGACCCAACTGAAGTTTCATAATAGAAGTTACAATGATTAAAAGTTAAAATTGAAAGTAACCTTATTTTTTTTTAATTTTTTTTTCTTCCCTACAAGAGTAGAAGCCGTGTGCCTGATATGAATTGTACACGAAGAAAAACTATAATTTAGGGGGTTGTTTCAGCGTCATTTTTTTTTTAAAATTCATTTTCAATTATACATTTTTTTATAAAATATTATTGTACATAATCGAAAAAAAATTCTTAATTTTTAACAACACATTCTCCTATAATCATTATTCAAAAATGCATTTTTTTCCACTCAAACAAGGATTCATGTTTTTAATATTTAAGTTCTTGTTTTGTATGGTTTACACTTTTTATTTACAAGTTTCATAATATTCAAAACTTAAAAAAACTTACTTAGCCCTTGTTTATGGTCCATTTTAATTACGTTTTAGGGAAAATTGTATTTTGGAATAATGATTTTTTGGCATATGTGTATGGTTAAAAAATAAAAGAAAAAACTTTGGATTTATATGTAATATTATTTATTGAAAAATGTGTGGTTAAAGAGAAAAATACATTAAAATTAAAATGGAGCCCAAACATAGACTTATTATTTACATATTTCATAAGATCAAGTTATAAGTAAAAAAATGTAGCCTCCATTTAGGAAGAATTTATAACCAGTTTAATTTAGAAACGAATGAATGACTAGTGAATACGTGAATAATATTCGTGAGTTCATATGAATATTTGATTGGAGTGAAATTTGATTATTTATAAATGAATAATGCTAGTTACAGTCGCTCACTGCAGCAGTTGCCCTATGTGACACACGTATGTCAAGTGTGTATTTGATGCATTAATGTGGTAAAAAACTATCACATTAATTCATCAAATAATTACATGCTATGTGTGTGCCACATAAGACGACTGTTGCAGTGAATGACTGTAAGTAGCATTACTCTTTATAAATTTTGTTAAACGATACTTAAGGTTGAACAATCATGCACTTAATTTTTAATTCACTTATTGTGCGCTTTTTATTTTTGGTTTACCAACCAGCGCCCTGGACCCACAGAGAATTAAATCTACATTCATGGCAACGCTCCCTCATCAATGAGAAAATTTGAATTGATTTTGATACTCCCATAGACCATTGAAGCTCACGAAATATTGAAATTTATAATTAATGTGCATACAAAATTCTATTACATGTAGTCTAACACACACAGGACGGAAGCATAAATAATAATAATATTGTATTCATAACACACAAACAAGCGTTGTTCGAATATCGCTTAAACGGAAATGAGAAATATTGAAATTCACCGAATAACGGAAAAACTTGATTATTAGACACTGTTGGAGATCTTGGCAATTATTCTCTACTATGAATGTTTTGTTGATTAAAATGAATTATCACAATAAATAAACAATTTGAATAGTCGAAAAAGTACTCCCATTAATATTAAGAAAAGGGCAATAAAAATTCATAATGGTCGTTCGATTGATCAGAAAATATTAAATGCGAATTTATAAAAATTAATGATCAAATCACTACAAATTAATGTTTGATCATTTCAACAATGCATTAGGTGGAAAGTAACATATGATATTCGATTTTAAAGGCATTAAGATAAACAACATGTGAAGCAAGCCCATTCGTAGACAATTCTGTAAACTAAATTGCGTTTAAGCAAAGTACTCTATTCAATCTTAAATTTAATGGTACCTCGAAATTATTGAAAGAGAGACATGTTTCGATTTTTGGATACACTAGTTGTTCTCTCTCTCTCTCTCTCTCTTTTTTGAATAATGCTACTTGCAGTCGCTCACTGCAGCAGTCGCCCTATATGCCAGACACATGTCAAGTGTATATTTGATGCATTAAATGTGGTGAAAAATTATCACATTAATGCATCAAATAACTACATGTCATGTGCGTGTCACATAGGGCGACTGCTGCAATGAGCAACTGCAAATAGCATTACTCTTTTTTTTTAGTAATAAAAGTTGAATTATAATCTGAAAATAACATGTAGGTTGTGCTTTGGCAATATTTTATGAAATTAGTTAAACTTTTATCTTCTCTTGACAGTAGAGAGAGTTTTACCACTGAAAGAAGTTATTTTTAATTATTATTTAGGGATGACAATAGAATGGAAGGGGATTAAAATATCCCGCTTATCACTCATTATATATTTATTTTTTTAATACGATGAGAATTAAAAATTAAAAATTAGAGACTCGGAGGAAGAACTACTTTCCTGATTCCCTCCTCAAGACATGAAAGAGGTACGGACGAAAATTTTTGTCATTCTTAACAAAAATGATTTAGGGCTCATTTGGCATAATTTTTAAAATCAAAATGAGCTTTTGATATCTAAAAGTTACTTTGGACCAATTTGACTAATTTTCTGAAAGTAATTTTAGTTAGATTCCGTCTAGGACTCTGTCTGGCATGACTTTTAGAAGAGCTTTTACATGAAGTTGGTCTAATGCGATATTTCTAAAATGGAAAACTCTTTTAAAATTTAATTTTTTTTAAAAAGTAAGTAACTTCTTCGTAAAACTCTTCCAAAGGAAATAAGTAAAAGCAAAAACAAAGGCTAATTAGCACAAAACATCCCTACCTTTGGGGTGAATTTCGGAAACCGTCCCTACCTTTCATTTCTTGACATTTATACCCTTACCTTTGGGGTTTTGGTGCGCTGAACATCCTTTTCACTGTTTTTTGACGATTTTACCCTCCATTCAATTTAGACACAAAGAAAAGAAAAGAAAAACAATCCAATAAATTGCAACTATAGGCCCAAACTTTTTAAAAAGTGCAAATAACCCATTAAACTT